GTCTTCATCGAAAATGGGTTTGATTCCCAGGGAAAGCAAGAACTGATAACAATTTAAATGTGTACCTTGAAATGCAATTTGGATAAAAGCATCTGCCAAATGCATAAATGTAAATGTAAATTAAAATCTGTCGGGTCGGCGCGAGGCGCGAGGCTTCTGGGAACAGGGTACGAGGCATATATGCAGAACTAATGCAGGGGAATGTGGGGAATTTGACAGGGCCTTTGAATGGAGGTGTGTGTTTGTGAGTGTGTTTGCGTTCATTGTGTTGAGATGTGTCACTCTGGTGCGGAAGAACAGAAGAATGAGAACGAACCAACCGTGAGGTCAGAACGACATGAATGAACCACAGCAGTGATTCCCAACGAGGGATTCGCGTATGTTCACAGATCAGCATGACTTTTGCGTTGTCAAACCTGTAACGCTTACAGGTAGATTTACTTTCCTCCAAAAAAAGTTAAATGTCCCATCTAGATTAAGCAAGTGACTCATCATAATAATGGCTACTTTAAAAATATTAAACGACAATGCTAAAAATTGACCATAGAATAGATCGGGAGAACTAAAATATCAAATCAAATGTAATTATGCAGATAATGTCCCCCGTGCCTGTAGTGAACAATTCTATCCCTTTAAACTCATCCTTGAACACTAAAATTACATATGTAAACATTTTAAAAATCTTGAATGTAACTCTACACCCTTGCCTCATTTAGTGTACAAGGTTCTATGAATATGCAAATTAGCACTCACTCACACCAAAACATTCAAAACCTGTATGATTTTCTTTCTTTTGGGTAACATAAAATAAAAAATTTGAAAGAATATTTGTAACCAAAGAGCTTCGGTTCCCATTGACTTTCAATATATGGACAAAAATAGAATGGAAGTCAATAGGAACCGAGCTTGTTCGGTTACAAATATTCTTCCAAATTTCTTCTTTTATGCGTTTTCTTTGACGGATAGCTATCTGATCGTGAAAAGACCAGGTGTAAATGACCTCCGAAACACATTCGAGATGGATTTGATATTCTTCCAAATTTCTTCTTTTATCTTCTGCACAAGAAAGAAAATGATGGGTGGACTTTCCCTTTAAATTGCTATACAGAACAGGTATTAGAATGTGTGTGGATATGTGTATAATAATTGTAATGTGTGTATGTGTATTTATTTAGGTGTGTATATTAGAGCCAGACCGATAGGCCGATATTATCGGCCGATATTAGGCATTTTCCAAAATATCGGTATCGGCAGGTATAATGGCCGATAAATTAATATTTTAAAAATAAAATAAAAACAGACGAAACACGCTTCAATCATCTCTCTTTGGCCTGTTATATTGAAAATGTTTGTTTTACAATTTGCAGTATGATGTTATCTATTTCTAAATTATGGCTCATCATAGACTAGCTAACCACGAAGCTAGCTAATGCCAATATCATCAGTGGAAGACCGCTAACGTTAACATTAATGAGCTTGGAAACCACGATGAACTTTTTCTGCCTAAATAAAGTAATGATTACTGTATTTATAACTAGCATATCTCTAGTTACAGTCAAGTTAGACTTGCGAGGAGTGAACATTTAGACGTAGAGAAAAAGTATCAAACGTATCTTGTGCAGAAAAGTTCGCTTTTCTTTTACACGTGTGTGAAATCCAACAATATTTAAAAAAAAAATAAATATCGGCGATATAGCGGATTTTAAAACCCAAAAATATTTGTATCGGTATCGGCCTTCAAAATCCTTTATCGGTTGGGCTCTAGTGTATATGAACATATACATATGTATATATATGTATGTGTATAGTTATTTGTAATGTATATGGATAGATTTGAATATATGGGTGATAAAGTTTTTTTTGTGCTAGTAAATATATGTATATATAAAATTAATTTTTTGCTCGTAATAAACTTCAATCAATCAATCAATCAATGTTATATGGTTTACATAAGTCTGTAGGGTTGAGAGAGTCGTACAGCTTTAAATGTGCTTTGGATTTCTGTAATTAAACTGTTTTTCTTTAAATCCATTTATACCCCAGTAGTGAAAACCCCAGACTTTACTGCTCTGAGGGTCAAACAGGCTCGTAAACAGCAGTAAAAAACTAGATTTACAGAGTTTTTAAGAGTCTAGAGATCACATCAGTACAGATCAAACAAACAAATTCATTGTTTTTTTTATAATTCAGTTTTTGTTTTTTAATTGCTCCTTGAGTGTGTACGGATGTGCGTTTTTGTTTTATATAATATTAGAGCAGTATTTTGTACATCAGTATTTCTATGTGGTTTACAGCTGCAGTCTGCATGTGCTCTACATTTGTGAGGTGTGTGTGTGAGCACCTGATTGCATGTGTTTTTGTGTGGTTGACATGTTCTGGTGGATAACACGAGCATATGTTACATATACTGAGTTAATCCTAAAAACTTGCTCGGGAACATCTAGTATCCAGTGTTGAATGCATCCCATTTTAGCTGGATGAATGCTACACTGTAGGAAACCATTTTTACTCAGAAATTGCTAGTACATTTCACAAATAAATGAAACGGCAAGTAACACATTGAATTAAACAGAACATTTCGAAGCGTTAAAGACTGACAGTATTTTCTTGCAATAATCTGTTTTATTTACAACTTGAGAAAAAATAATTTTGCAGTCCACCATTTTTTTAAGCTTTATTACACAATCTTTCAGAATACACAAACACTTATAGCTTACTACTTTTACCATATCTTTCCATGGCAGGACTAGTGCGAGTAGTTCTGAATTCAGCATCAGTTATCGAGAGACAACCTAGACACTTAACTTCTCCTAATTGGTGAAAATGTGCTTTAACAGCTTTAGTTTATTTGATATTAATAGTAGTAATAATGAGTGAACCTTAAACCTAAATGTTCATTCCTTCTCCTCAGTACAGGACCACGAGCACCGCAGCCACTTTAGGGGTGTGCCACAGAAATAATTGTTAAAGTTGTGAAGCGTCTATGTTCCTCTGAAGCCCACATGAGAGAGCAGCTGTGTCACTGAGATCTAGACTCGACGTCGCTGGCTTTCTTCTCTGTTTGTGTGTAGGATGAGGTCGTGTGTGATGTCACTGCACACAGCTGCTCACTGATGTACGGTTACAAACTCAACGCGAGACGTATACATTAAATTTATGGTTGCAATACATTTTTTATTGATTTAAACGAAATTTTGTTCTGTTGACATCTTAACATTGTGTGTAATTTAAACTGACATTTGTATGTTAATTGAGTTGCTGTAGCTGTAATTAAATTGTCTTAAACGTTTTAAATTGGGCAGTGGTTTTCTAGTTACCATAATGCTTTGCTTAGGGCTGTTGTGATGATGTGATTTTGTAGCCCAACCCAGAAGTTATCATCATCACACTGGTTCCCTCGACAAAAACCCCATAGGATTAAAAAAAGTTGCTTGTCTTGAAAAAATCGGATTTTTATTTATAATTTTTTTTTTTTTGCACATTGTAAATAAAAGCTTTTTGATTTTTACTTGCATGTTACCCTGTTAAAAACCTTTTTTAACCTGATATTCAATATTTTTTTGAGTTTCCCCTGTACAATATACAAGCCTATTATTATCCATTAACGATTTATCGATCACAATCATTCCCTACACTGTAAAAAAATATTGTTGGTTTAACTTAAAAAAGTAATTAACCTGGTTGCCTTAAAATTTGAAGTTGATTGAACTGGAAAAAGTGAGTTAATACAATGAAGGAGATTCATTTAATCATCAGTAACTCAAAATAATAAGTTATCTCATTCTCAACTAAATAAATTATTGAAGTTGATTTTACAAAAGAAAAAATGTTGTGATAACGAATCTTTTTTACAGTGTAGTTGTTTTAATCAGGGTGCTTGTCCCGTCGGGCAAGTAAAATTCTTTCTCTTGTCCCTTCAAAAAAATTCACTTGTCCCGGACAAGCGTTAATATCGAGCTCTCTCAATGTACAATGTTGGTTGTTTCATTAGCAGTTGCATAATTTTTTTGTTGATCTAACTAGGGCTGGGGTAAACGATTATTAACTAAACGATTAGTTGGGCGATTATTTTATCGATTAGTCGACTAATCTAATGACTAATTGGACGACTAATATAAAGAATATTTTTTCTGCTGCTCAATTAATAAAAAAACAATATCTCAAATAAATACTAGCATACTGAATCAAGATACTATAAGCTGGCTAACATTAGTCTAATGTTATGTATTTGAAGACCATCATTATAACTCTACAACTGCCAAAACCGTGTTATTAAAATATTTTTTACAAACATTTTTTATCATAGAGAATGTTTAAATATTAATATCAGCTGAGGAGGGAAACGGAGGCGGAGTTAGTGGTGTGATCGGAGGCTGCTACTACTGGAGATGAATCGGGAGAGGTTTGTGCACCTACTGATCAGAGCGCGTGCTGACACGGAGTAAAGCCTTGTTTATACTCGACACGTCCGCACGAGCGCGAATGTGCGCACAGCAAAATTGACGCGTTGGGTGCGCAAGACCAGGAAGACTCAAGACTGTGGCTGGCTGTGTGTACGCCTTTTTTTTGTAACAGCGCGCCCCGCGCCGCATTCGGAAACGACTTCAAGCCGAATCTGCCCGAGCTTGTACGTCTCACCACACCGGCACCCAGTTTGCGCATCTAAATTGCAATTTTTTTTTTCTTAAGGGTTTGTTTACTGTGTGTGATTCATTTAATGGATAGCACATTCACTTCTAGTTGTCTTCGTCCTCTATTGTGCAATGTTTCGGTCTCCCACGTGTGTGTGGCAAGCTGTACCGCCGGGAACATGCAAAAAATAAATAAATAAAAAAGCATCATCGACGTCATCGACGCGCCGCTACAGCACTAGATCTAACACATTTGATCATCCGAGTATACTTTAATATTCCCTCGTTTCACTCCTGATAACTGAATGCATGTTAATGATATGGTCGATTTAAAGAAACATCTGCTCATCTCTCTCCTGTTCCTCTCAGCAGCTTTAGACTGTGAAGTCGGACAGTGGGGTCCCTGGTCTCCCTGTTCCTCCGTGTGTGGGACGGGAACTACAGAGCGAAGCCGACAGGTATCCACACCCCCACGCAACGGAGGCACGCCCTGTCCCGATCTCAGACAGCGCAGAGGGTGTTTGGCACACACTGAGGCCTGCAGTGCAGCTAAAGGTAATCAGACTAGGCCTGAAAACAGAAACACAGGCTCATCCGGGTCACTGAAGTCAGCAGCGCTTATACGCCTGCTAGGAACGTTTTTCTTCGTGGAAGTTTTGCGTTTTGGTGAGCTAATAAAATATTAAAACTCAATCGACAGTTATTTAATTATGCTGTGGACTCGCTCTCTCTTGTTTCATACAAACACAGTTGGATTATAAAATACAAACAGGTACGATTTTAAAACAGTTTAATCTGAAATCAATATCTCTTATCTCCATGATTATTTATGTGGTGAAATTCTGTGTAATGAGTGTTACGATTGTATGTCATATCTCTTAATTGTCCGTCTGGTTTGGTCTCGCTGCTGAAACTGCTCTCCGCGGAAGCTTTACGTTTAAAGAGCTGATAAAATATTTCAACTCAGATCAATATTTCGTGTCTAATTATTTACTTATGTGGCAAGTAGCCGTGTAATAAGCGGGATAATGTACATCCAGCTGGTTGCACGATATATCGGCCACCATATCGGTATCGGCAGATATATGTGTGTGTGTATATATATATATATATATATATATATACGTTTGTGTGAGTTGCTAACCCGATAAGAAAATTTGGCCGATATATTAAATCTGATCAATAATTGAATATTTCCTACAGCTGAGACTCTTGAGATGCGCACTGTTCAACATGATGGTTTTGAATTGCTTAAGATATAAATTTAAATCACTTAAAAAATACAGAAAATACGGTGCATGCAAAGCACAAGTCTATCATATAGGCTACATAAAATTATAATGAGAACATCATTATAATTGTGTGTTTGGGACATGGCTTTTAATAGCGAGACTTTGGTTTTTGGAATCAGACTCTCAAAAATGATATAAATATAATTATTGAAAATATAAAAAATATAAAGAATTATTAGTTAACGGGCAAAAATTTCACATCGGTGCATCCCTGCTTAAAATGCAATGTAGACAGCACACTGGGTTTTTGAAACAACTAGTGTGTCAATGTAGGGCTGGGCGATATGGCCAAAAAATCATATCTCGATATTTTTTGGTCAAATGGCGATATACGATATATATCTCGGTACTTTCTACGTTTTCTATTTAGATAAAGAAAATCTTTATATTTAAAAAAAAAAATATATATATATATATATATATATATATCACATTCGGCCCAATGATATCCTACAAACAATGTTGATATTGAAGGATATGGAAACAAATATAATATAGGCTATGCAATATATTATGTGCAAAAAGCTTTTGTTTTTATATTGACTATAAGCTAAACTAAAAATGAAAATAAAAACAAAAACAAAAGCACAAACTAATTATATTAGCCTGCATTTGATTACCCCATTATAATCACTTTCACTTTCATTAAAAATATATACTTGTAGGTTTAAAATTCCACATATGGCACATTTATTTTCTCCAACAACAAATATTTTAGCAATATGTTTATTTTAGTCAGAATTATTGCGTACTACGTAGTACTATTCACGCGCATGCGCGCGCCGGCGCTCGTTCAAGGAAGCATGAATTTTAGCGGAGATTCACTTGCAGAAGCTCGTCCTCTTCTGACATGGACATATTTGTTGTGAAATGGACATATTTGCTTTACTTTCTAACATTTACAGATGGAGAATATATACCTGTGAAATGTAAGTTGAGCACTGAGGAAAGCACCACATCTCAAACGCATTAAACAGCGCAAGTATATCTGTCAGTCAGCAACAGTGTCTGTCAGAGCATTTGACAGGGTGGCAAGCTGCCTTAAACTTGTTAACTATATCAAAGTGATTTTGACGCAATTAATATAAGCTTGTGTCATGTTTAGGACAAATTGTACTACGTAGCCTAGCTACTTTCACTGCAGCAGCTCACACTGCAACCTCCGCTATTTTTCAGATGTGCTCATATCAAACTACTGTATCGATATAAACGGTATTGCCTCATTCCATATCGTTTCAAAAAATATAACGATACATCGTACAAACTCGATATATCGCCCAGCCCTATGTCAATGTGTGTGATCCAGGGTGAGTTTGTTTATTGAACTGTAGTCAATGTCAGGCATGAGAATTCCCACATCGGTATTGCATTAAATCAGTACTAAATCATCCCACCTTCAGATGCATTTTAGCACCTCTGTGTCTTTGAGCGCAGATGTGTTCAGCATTTTTGTTATTTCAGCTGAGATCTCATAGTAAGACGTTTGACTACAGACTAAAGTTGCCAAATATACCCCCATTTTAATCACTACTGCATACATTTAATGTGTTTTTTAAGCAATAAGCTCATTAAAACTGCATGCCATAATACAATATACACATCAGTGTGTGTGTGTTTTGTGCTCTGGTGCTGTGCGTCGTCTCTGGAGGAGTTTAATTTGCTCTTTTTCATTATCTTGATCTCTTCCTGCTCTTTAGAGGTGGCCAAAATCCTGCCTGACACATTCAAGCGGAACTTCAAGGACCCTTGGAGACGACCGCACATGCTCATGAAGGAGGAGAAGAAGAGGTGAGAGCGATGGAACTGCAAACACAGTGTTTTCAAAAAGAACATTAACAGATAATTCCTATAACCGAAGGTTGAGCAGAGAGTTTAAACATCAACAGTGTTGTCTAGACTTACAGTGACCCTCAGATCTAGATCAAGGTGAATCTGCTGCCGTTTGTTTGGATTATTAAAGGGGTGATGAACTGAGAAATCAAATTTTCCTTGAGCTTTTGACATCTAAGAGGTCATCATATTATAAGAATATCCTGTAAGTTTCAGAACTGAAAACGTCCTTGTTAGTCCAATAAAAGCTTTTATTTACACTCGTTTTGAAAAGTGGGGAACTATGACGTCGAAGGGGTTAAAACACGACCCCCGCAGAAGAAGACCAACGCCTAATACAACACGGCCGGTTTAGCCCCGCCCACCGATTCGCGCATTACACGCATAGCTAAGTAGCCTAACATACATGCCTAACTCGTGATGACAAACCGGATCGTTCTACCGAGCAATACAGAATATTGTGCAGCGCCTGGTTGTGGAAGACAGTCGCTGCATCAGCTTCCTCTGGATTCCAATAGGACTTCATGGATAAACTTTATTTTTAATGACGTTCCAGCTGATGAGGTAAAACATCGTCGTCTGTTCGCTTCATTTCACTGAGGATTGTTTTGTAAACAAGACTGGATTTGCAGACCGATTAAGAGTAAAGAACGGTGCTGCGCCGTCTATATTGGATCTGACAGGAATTGTGCAACACGCGGACTCTGGGTCGAACATGTATGGGCGAATCCGGTTGCCATTTGACAACATTGGACGTTTTCCCCCACGTACACCGACGGGTGAGTTAAACTCATTATAATATGCAAAACTGTTCTCCACTCACAGCAGTGGGCGTTTATTTCCAAGTCTTCAGTGCGACACGCCCATAAAAACCGACCGTTTTTTTCAGGAAGGCTCACAACTTGGGTACAAAATAGCCTATTACTTATTCATTTTGATGTTTTTGAATGCAAAAACCAAGCGAACGTCTTAAGTTGACCAATATAATAACATTTTAAAAGCCAGTGCATGATCCCTTTAAAAGAAGTCATACAGATAGGGTTGCTAACTGTCCCGAATTAGCCGGAACATCCCATATTTTGGGCCTAATTTATTTGACCTCCTTTGTCCGGATTAAATAGACTGCTACACTGATCTAACCACTGACTGATACAACAGGAACACGACACTTGAGAATGATCATGACACTGGTCATCATCCAATCACTGGCCACATGCGCATCAGATCATACGAATACCAAACTCTACATTGAGAATTAATTATTCTTTTGGGACAAATCATGGTTTTATTTGGGAACAGAACTCGCGCACTGTCCGGCCGGGTTTTGACTTCGGCAAATCAATTTTGGTGAATTCAAACAATGTGATTATTGTTCATAACATCCAGCCATGCAAGAAAACATGAAATCTTCCTAAGGGAATAATGCTGATGTGATTTTCTGCCCAAGAAACATTTCTGATTATTATTAATGTTAAAAAAAAAAAAAGTCAGAATTCTTCAAAATAGATTTATCCAAAATAAACAAAAGGTTTTGTAACATTATAAATGTCTTTACTGTCACTTTTGATTAGTTTAATGCGTCCTTGCTGAATAAAAGTAGGCTATTACTTTCTTTAATGTCTTTAAAATGTTGTGTATAATGTTACAAAAGCTTTCTATTTCAGAGAAATGTTACAATTTTGAACTATGGTTTTGTTTTAGAATTAAATTGTACATAAATAGGTTAAGCAAAACAATTGTGTTTATGTCTGAAAACCTTTTAAACACATTCAAACCTGAAATGACATATACTGTTTGATACAGTACAAATATTTTTTGAGTGTCCCTTATTTTCTTGTAAAGAACCAGGATTGTCCCTCATTTTTCTTTTCTGAAGTTGGCAACCCTACATACAGACCTGATATGTATAGATATCCTGGTTTTGACTATCCAAGGATAGTCTGAATATAATTAATCATCCATATATTCTATACATGGGTCGAAGTAATCCCTTAAAGTCACATGAAATTAAAATTCAGCCATTTCATTTTCTATGTGCATGTTATAGAACTTATTCATTCATGTATACATTTTATAAAAAAAAGACTTTAAGACATTAATCAGAGTTCCACACCCACATCTCAACATCCAATCAACAACTGATGCTTAGAAGAAGACCTCATCCTATATTTTTATTCTATAATTCAATAGACTGAATTGTGCGTCACAATATGGGAGAAATGATCTGTCACTAACATGATGACTTTAAAGGGATAATTTACCCCAATATTAAAACCCTGTCATCATTTACTGGCCCAAAAGTGAATTAGCAGTAACATGACTCGCGCCGTTCTTCCGCGTTCGTCCCGCTCGCCACAGTAAACATGATTAATGGCGACTGTAGAACGCAAAAGCCGAATCCCGGACATTTTGGGCGATCTCGAAACTCATTTTCAAGCAGACTCATAACGGAGACTCACAGACTTGTTGTTTAACGACTGCGCTCTGTTACCGATAGGCGTCGCCTCCTAGGGCAGCGAAGCAAGTGCATTCTGGGAGTTGTTGTCTTTCAACCACATAAGCCAAAAATAAATTTTCTAGCTTTTCTCAGTCTAGAAAGCTCCAAATTCAAAAATAATTTCACATTTCTTCTACATAAATGACTCATTTTAAATACACATTCATCTTTCCTGAGATTAAGTATCCCATTAATACTAAAAGCAACAAAAACGTTTTTTTTTTCACAGGTTCTGTTTTCTGAGAACATCATCCCAAATCCACGATTTAATTTAAATGATTTTACGAGCCCATCCTTAAGTCACTTTATAACCCTTGTTACAACCTCAGTAACACCTGGCTGAGGCCAGGAAATCAGATCTGTGTGTGTGTGTGTGGGACATTAAGAGAATGTACGTGACATGTGATCAGTGAGCAGATAGTGAGGAGAGCAGGAATTAAATAGCAGGTGCAGGTTCAAATGAACTGAGATTAAACGACTATCCGAGGTTCCTTCTAAGCAGAACACAGGAAATCCCAGAGCAAACAATCCTTTCATCAATCACAGGTGTATAGTTTCAGTGTGTGTGTGTATGTGTGTGTGTGTGTGTATGTGTGTGAGAGAGAAAACATCCAGACCATGGAGGAGGAAAGAACGCCATACAGGAAACACATCAAACTAATTAAATCTAGCGTGGGAAGGCTGACCTTCACCCTTATACTGCCTGCAACACACAAGTGTTTCAAAAGCGGAAATAAAACATCTTTAAAGTCCCCCTGTGGTGAAAATCAAGCTTGTTTCTGTGTTTTTTTTAAAAATACGCTTTAAGACAAACCATGAGTCGACAGCATTGCTGAGTATTTCCTCCTTAAAACTGCAGTCTCAAAAACACGGTTCGAAATAGCTGGTGTTTCTGACATCACAAACCAATCACAAAACCAATCAGGAGTGTGTTTCCCGTACAACTATGTAACTCGCTGCTTCACTACCATAGTACGATGCATCGTTGGAGAAATCAACTAGCTAGTCACGACTGTTTCCCGAAACCATATTGTTGCAGTATCGTTCTTGCACGTGGTGGAGTAATACCTACTTTTAATAAAACGGTTTGAGATCCAATTAACGCTAGATTTTTTAAATATAAATTAAAGACATGTCATCTGAGGACTATTTCTAATTGTTCTCAGTTATTTTGCTTTATTACCAGACTCAATATTTGGCTCGTTCTTGCATAGTAGAGCACGTTCGCACATGCGCACTCTTCAAACACGGTACTTTAAATCTTTTGACAAACTAAAAGACGTAAATTACATTTGCATGTATTCTAAATACATTTTGATCAAGATAAGGATTTATTATGTCCAAATGTGATATAGAAACTATGCCTCTACCCACAGGTCGAGAGCTGTCGTTCAAACCACATCAGTGTTGGGTGTAACTAATTACTAAGTAATTAGTTACTGTAATTGTAAATGTAAAGTAAGGGATTACTCTTCATTTATCTGTAATTTAATTACAGTTACTTCTGATGTAATTGAGGTAAATACTGTGTATAGATCAATCCGATGCATTTTATGAGGCGTCTAAATATTACGACCGCACTCGTACAAATTCGTATGAATTATTGTAAAATATGTATGAAAAAAGTGTGAAATGTCATGAGATCAGACATAAAACAATAGTGGGTTTAACATCAAAATGTATTGTCTGATGCTAAAAAGTATGTTTTTTTATAATGTAACCTTCTCCACCTTTGGTCAGTTTAAGGATAAATCATGCAGTTTTATAGTATTTATTTGAAAGAATTAAAACAGATTTATGCCTATCCGTGTATTATTCAGCTGGTTGAGATTGATGTGGGATTTTGAAAGTAATTAGTAATTAAAAGTAATTAAATACTTTTTAGAGAGAGTAATTAGTACAGTAATCTAATTACACTGTTGAAGAGGTAATTAGTAACTAGTAATTAATTACTTTTTTAGAGTAACTTACCCAACACTGAACCACACAACTTTGCGATGCTGCTTGCGAATGTTCGTTGGAACGATTGTTTTGGGAAACACCGACTCGTTGAAATATGCTGATAACGACGAAACTTGCGACCATAGTTGGCTAACGATGCTTTCGGGAAACGCACTCAAATCAACGTGTGATCGTCAACCAGTCGATCTCTGAGCTGAGCGAGTGAGTGGAGGCGGGGCTCATTTGCATATAGAACTGCGCATACTAAATGAGGCAAGGGTGTCGAGTTCCGTTCAGAATATTTTAAGGTATGAAGTCAAAGAAATTTTGTCAAAGAAAATACGTTTAAATATGTCATTTTTGTGATCAAAGATGAGTTTTAAGGGATAAAATTATTAAATAAAGAGTAACTGGTACTCGGTGTGTTTCAACCGCATGAAACAGGGTCTAAATGAAGTTCCGGGTAGAGCCAGACCGATATTATTGGCCGATATTAGGCATTTTCGATAATATTGGTATCAGCAGTTATAAATGGCCGATAAATGAATATTTAAAAAATAAAATAAAAACGGACGAAACATGCTTCAATCATCTCTCCTTGGCCTGTTATATTGAAAATGTATGTTTTATAACTTGCAGTATGATGTTATCTATTGCTAAATTATGGCTCATCACTAGCTAACCACAAATCTAGCTAATGCCAATATCATCAGTGGGAGACCGCTAATGAGCTTGGAAACCACAATGAACTTTTTCTGCCTAAATAAAGTAATGATTACTGTATTTATAACTAGCATATCTCTAGTTACAGTCCCTGCATTGTAAAATGTAAGTTATACTTGCGAGGAGTGAACATTTAGACATGGAGAAAAAGTATCAAACGTATCTTGTGCAGAAAAGTTAGCTTTTCTTTTACACGTGTGTGAAATCCAACAATATTTAATGAAAAAAAAATATCGGCCGATATATATCGGATTTTAAAACCCCAAAATATTTGTATCGTATCAGCCTTCAAAATCCTTTATCGGTCGGGCTCTAGTTCCGGGTAAATATTTCCTCCTCTGAAAGTCGCTGAACATTTGAGATGATGAGGTTCAGGCTTTATTAAGCTTAAATTCAGAGGATGAAATCCAGCGGGAACTGTAAAGTAGCGCACAATCCTACATCGCCGGATTAATTTGCCTTATCTTCGCGGTACTTTAGACCACGGTGGAAACGTAGACAGCAAAAAAAAAATGTTCCCAAGACAAATTGTTCCGGATAATTTCGGTGGAAACACGTTTGTAGTTTGCAAAATTATTATTATTTTTTTGTCTAAATTTCCTCTGTCTGTTGCAGTTATTGTGTGCAGATGCGTGTGAAGCAGGCGAGCGCTGCGTGTAAAGTCAGACCGTGGAGTGCAGGTTTGGTCCGTGAACGCGCCGTGTGTGTCGAGTGTCAGAGCGACGCCATGGCGGCCGATAACCGTTGCCGTGGAGACGGACTGCTGAACATCAGGTACTTCAACTTCTATTTATTTATATAGCACATTTAATAGCAACACTGTTGCACAAAGTGCTTCACAATCATAACTAAAAACATACACATATAAAAACATTCACCAAGCCTAGCAAATTAAGGTATGAATACACACTCTTAAGTCTCGTTCACACCAAGACCTATAATTATATTGGCGTCCACACCAACGAACAATAACAGTGTTTTATTCTATGCGGTTTCAAAGTAACGGAAAACTATGACCTGCTGCTGTTTTACGTTAAACAGGGACTTTTGGGTACACGATATCCTGATTAGTCTGATTAGAGAGTTGTCATCTTTGTCATTCATACGCTCGAATTAATCAATATCAGTTTGTTGCATTTACATGTCCTTTACCAGATTTCTCTGTACCTCAGCGATTAACTTCTCCACAATGTCGTCTGCCATTGTAAAGAATTAGTTCACTTTAAAAAACCCTTTTTTTGCTGAGAATTTACTCATCCCCATGTCATCCAAGATGTCCGCTAGATAAGACATCGTCTGGTGTCGTTTAAAGCCCTTTGAAGCTGCACTGAAACTCTCATTTGGACCTTGAACCGTTTGGACCCCATTGAAGTCCATTATATGGAGAAAAATCCTGGAATGTTTTCATCAAAAACCTTCATTTCTTTTCGACTGAAGGAAGAAAGACGTGGACATCTTGGATGTCTTTTTTTAAAGTGAACTACTCCTTTAAATATGCAAGAACCCTTTAAATTCGAGTGGATTCTGATTGGCTGTCAGTGTTTTATGGTTCGAAAAATCATTATGAAAGTGATCCCAATGATATCGTTCCTCATATTTTTATCGTTACATTTGTGGTGTGAACTTTATAATTCTTTAATAATAAAGCTATTCTTTGATATGGAGAACGATTTTTATATTTACGATTCTTTATAGTAATCATTCTTGTTGTGAACGGGCCTTTAGACAAGTTATTACTTCAATAAATCTTGACAAAAACATGTGTTTTCCACCAGAACCTTCTGGGCCGCTGCGTCAGCACCCGGTTGCTCCGGGTCGTGGGTTCGAGAGTCTTTCACTGAGGACTGCCGGTGTCCGTCGTACTCCGTGATTTTTGTCTGAACCGACACGGCCTTTAAAGCTCATTTCGAGGGACAAGGGAGTCATTTCATGCCTTTTGAAGCCAAATTCTCCATCAAAAGAACTGCAATGACGCCACAGCGTATCTGTGTATCAGTTCGTAACCAACACACAACCCTGCTTTCCCAAGCTCTTCTATCTACCTCCAGTTCTCCACATGCACCTGCACCCGTTTCTGATGCCTTATATCATAGTCAGGGCTCGACATTAAGGCTTGTCCGCTTGTTCGGGACAAGTAGAAGAGAAAATTATTTGTCCGACCGGACAAGTTAAATTTCAAATTAAATAAAATGCCATGTTACTTCACGTTATGTGCCACTCGTTACGTCTATTTTTTTACGTCGATTTGAAACGAACACATTTTTCGCTTGCCTGTGAATGTGACTCACAGAAAGACGTGTGCCAGTATAATGCGCATGCACAGAAGTTCTTTCACGCTTGAACGAACATCAACAACACACACAATTAAGCCAAAATGTAATTTGTCGAGTATCTTCATAACATAAGAGCAGTCTTACGATGGACATAAAGAGTTGTGACTCGTGAGAAAGAGACGCGTGTGAGATCCGCGTCTCTGTCCACAGTGGCTGATCTTAAAGGGCCAGCTACCAATAAAGCGTTCAGTCAGTAAAGTTAATGAAAGAACAAAGGGACTAGAGAAAATTACTCACTGCTCTTGACTAAAGAACTTGTGTAGCTTTAATAAGGAGTAGTCTATATAATTTATAATTTATGCAGCGCAGACTGTTTTGATAACTTTATTCAGTTTCTGTATGTAACCGGTGGCTCGCGACACCAGTTATAATAATACTTGTCTGCGTTGTGTAGATAAAGACACTGGACCACAGGCGGCGATTTCACTGGGTTTACTCTCTGATACACAAAACACATAGGATAGTCTTGAGTGAGACGCTCCTATATATCACTATAAAACAAATGTGACGTACATTTAGTCACCATGTGCTTTTATCTCCACATATATGGATCAAAGTCAAAAATATAACTCAATCAGGACAAAATCACCGAAATAACCATACAGATATGTAAAGTAACCCAATATGCATGCATTGAAGTGAAAATATAAACATAAAACCAATGATTAAAGTGAAGATTAATTAAGATTAAGAAGAGCCAAAAATAACTCATCTCCTCAAGAGGAAGAGGTGGAGACAAAACAGGAAATTTACAGACTCGTGATGACATCGCAACAATTAAAGGGAAAAACACCCTCATTCTAAGACAAGTATATATCAGATATATGTGAAAGTAAACCTTTTTTGTGTAAATTATAACAATACATACATTTTAACTGAACACATTCTGTCCCTGTTATATGTCCTACCTGTTAGACAGTTAATTTTTATCCAGACATCAATGGCTTATTGATCATTATAGGTGTTATCAATCATTTAGTTGTTATTGCTAATTTCAGAATTACCCCTAATCTGTGTGTGCATTTGGTTTAGAACCAAACAAGTTGACTCATGAAACTATTTTTTTTATTATATATCGCAATCGCATATCACAACCGCAATATTGACCTCAATAATCGCAATATGACATTTTCCCCGAATTCTGCAGCCCTAGATAAAATTATAAATCTTTACCCGGACAAGTGACTTTTGTGCATGGACAAGTGAAACATAAATTTACGTGCCTAAAAAGTTAATGTCAAGCCCTGACAGTTTTCACTCTGTACGGTTTCTCTACTCTTCTGATTCTGATGTACTGTATTTATATATACGTTTGAATGTATCTTCCATTTGTCAGTGTGTGTGTGTGTGTGTGTGTGTGTGTGTGTGGAGTAATGGTTGCATGCACGTGTTGCTGAAAGACATGCTCATGTATGCGAATGTTTCTATTCTGTATTATTTCAGTTTCTCAATGTTTCTTCTTTGCTCTTTTTTCATGAGTTCTGGAAAATGTCCTTTCACACTCTAGGACTGAAGTCGGTAGCATTCAGCTTGTTTGCTAGGTCTGAACGCTGTATTTGAGACCACACTTCATTCTTCCTTGATAGGGTTGTGTTTGCAAGCCAAAACGGCCTTAATTGTGGTTGTGAGCCACATCTGATGACGTACAATTTGGTATAATCCATTTCTCTTTGCTGCTTGTCTTTCCATTAAAATCCATTTATTTTATTAAAATGAATTTCCAATTTATTTATTATTACAGCATCTCTGATTTGAATATATAGTGACTCACACGCACACACATCAGGATCGCACCAAATAAATGCTTTCTAGATTGCAAGTTCATTGTATCTTTCGCCTTTAAGTAATATTTCAACAGCTTGCGTTTTATTGATGCTCTTGTATGATTTTGTTATTGTTTTTAGCATCACACATTAAACAGTCATACGTCTCAGCTCAGTTTTCTTTCATTGCTTGCTTTTTAGTTGTTGTTTTTCAGTGTCATGATTAACATATCGGTGCGATTCCCCTCGGTTCACTAACCCATCGCGAGGTATGTAGCGCGCACGTGCTCATTACAGATCAAAGCGCTCGTCTTGTTTTACATTCACCCGTCTGCACACATACTATGCTAACTACATACAGTTTATGGCATTTTTTGCATGCTTGCTCAGGGAAGCATACTTGAGATTCAGGTAATCATGTGTTTTGTCCCTAACACACTTTTGTAGGATGTGCTGAATGACAGTAGACATTCTTCACTGCTTTACAAACACAAGACAAACGTTTGGGCATACAATTAAATGTGTTATACTTATATAGCTTTTAAACTTCTGCTTAAATGCTTTCAATTCGTTTTTTGTTTTTTTGTATATAATAGTGATAATAAACAAACTATGAATTCCTGA